TCTGCCAGGGAGGAGGAAAGCTGGGAGGAAGCAGAGACAGGACACCTGACCCAAACTAGCCAAAGGGGTATTCCATACCACAGCATGTCATGCCCGGTATATAAACTGGGGGCAGTTACCTGGAAGGGCTAGCTTCGCTGCTCAGGTTGGGCTGGGTATCAGTCGGTGGGTGGTGAGCAGTTGTATTCTCCTCCCTTGTTATTTCCCTTATCATTATTATCATTATTGGTGGTAGCAGCAGTGGTTTGTGCTATACCTCAGTTACTGGACTGTTCTTATCTCAACCCGTGGGAGCTACATTCTTTCGATTCTCCCCCCTATCCCTCAGGGAGTGGGAGGGGAGGAAGGGGGAAAGTGAGAGAGCTGGCTGCGTGGTTCTGAGTTGCTTGCTGGGCTTAAACACGACAGCTCTTCTGTGTATCACTGGAGTAATGAGGGTTGAAGGCTACTGATGAAAGATTGCACAGACTGTATGCAAAGAGCTCTTGTTTAATTGTATCACTTTCTCAAATTCCAGTAATCTTGAAATATACAACTTCATGTGTTCCTGTGAAAATATTTTAAGAGATATTTCCCCTGCTCCCTTTTACATGTTTAAGAAGGGATTTTCTAGAAGTTCAGTAACTGTCTAACCCATTTATTATCTTTTTGTATATAGGAATAGATAAGCAATGTGGAGTACTATCAAAACATGATTTTTTTTTTTTTCTTCCATTATGTAACTTCCATCTGTAATAGTGATTTTGGGTGCTACTTTTGACTCCAGAAGCATAATTTTCCAGCTGATGTGGTCTTGGCTCTGTTATTTCAATAAACACATAAGAAAATGTATCTGGAAATCCCTGTGTGTTCGGAGAGAAAGACTGCTGCTTCAAAAGGAATGGAACAAGCCTGTTAGAAATGAGCTTCATGTTCCAATCTTAAATCTGTACTTAAGTTCTTGCACATACATTTGGCTAAAGTTTGTGCTATGTGTCTCATCTGATCATGTGTGAGCAGCCAAAGGTAGCACACTACTGCAGCCTGTGTGCAAAGCAGCACCTGCCTCTAAGTCGTAAGCCTGAAGAAGGAGTTTTGCAAAACTGCTCTCAGATGTATGGCCTCTCAACTGGTCAAACCACTGCTCAGAACCTAGGACTCGTTGAAAACCTTTTATTTTTGGAAGAGACCATTATTAAGAACATCTACATATGTGGATTTGGAATGTCTGGAACATCAGGACCCTCCAGCCTCTCACACCAGATATTTCTTTCCCTTTGCGGCTCAGTTTTTCCTTCATATGTGTTTGTATCATAGTTACAGCATTGAAATGTAACTAAATGAATCCCTAACTGCAATTTAACTGGGAGGGGGAACTTGCCCTTTCTTTCAGTGAAATGATGCAAAGATCTAAGTTATGAGGGTGTGATTCTGGTCAGAATAACACCTTTTTTGCTTTAAACATGTAACCCACTGTATACTTGTTGAAAACAAGTCATTAACTTCTTTCTCTCTAAGAGCCATTGGGAACGTGTCCAGCTTCCTGGGAAGGACTTGTGGGAGTTTTATTTTTTTTGTTAACTGGGAGAGGTTTCCCATCTTCCTTAGCACATCCAGCTAGCCTGTTCTGGCCTGCTTTACAAACTTGGGCCAGACTTGAAAAGACAACAGCTAGAGGCATTTATAAACTGCACATACCTTGTCAGGTCTTGATGTAATCACGGAGGTAAATCACCTTTGTCTGTTCCTAATGTATGAATGGATTTCTTTCCTTTTCAATTCCAATGAAAGCAATGGATATTAAGTCTTATAATTTGTTCATAGTAAATCACATGGATAGTAGGAGGGCCAAATTCCTTTTCTGGTAAAAAAGGAAGGAAAAGGTTTTGGCTATTGCAGTTTAATCATAATTATGATACTTTATTTTTTCACATAGACAATTTTTTGAAATATTGAGTGTTTTAGGATCAACACGTATAATAACTGTGCAATGAATAACATTACACGTCCTAGATGATGTAAAAAAATGCAGATTTGGTTGGTATCAGTAGGAGTGGAGCAGGGTTTCTGGAATTCAAGCATGTATTGAAAATAGAGAATCTGTATTTTAAAACTAGTACATAGGATTAAACTTCTCCCCAGACTAATAGGTGCTGGGCATGTTACAGAAACATGTTCAGTCTTAAGACAGATGGGAGCTTTGCACTGCTCTGTAGTGTTATCTGTTGCTGTATGAGACTCCGAATTGGAGATACAGCTGCTATTAAGAGCGAACAACATAAAAGGAATAATTTAAGGTGTTCTCAGAAAAGGAAGTTGCTGGCTGTACTCAGACTCTACAATTAAATTCTGCTGCAGCACATAATCTTATTTTTGGCCTTGTAGGAAGTTGTATTCTTTCGCCAAAATTTAACTCATATACATTTTCCTTCACTGAAGTGATTTATAATCCTTCTGTAAAGGAAATGATTGTCCAAATGTGGCATTTCTGTTATTTAAGTGAATGGAAAAAGCGGGAAATACAATCTTATATTGTGTGTTTACCTACAGTAAACTTAAAATGAAAACCATTCTGTAAGCCTGTTTATAAGGCATGAAGTTTACTTTTGTTTTGCTTAACCAAGTGGCCGAAACGCTGCCAGCAGTATGTCTGGAATGTTATTTACTTGGTCCATTTCTGTGGTTTTTCTTCATAGCACTGTACACATGCCACAGTTAGCAGTCATTTACTTACCACTGAACGAAGTAGTACCCCCAAAGCTGCATTTATTTGTCTCATTGTGGGCTTAATAATAAAATGTTCATCATGTCTGCAGCTTTCATGCTCACAGTTTTCCCCCATCTCTCCCTCCCTCCCTTTTCTTAATCAGAATTGCTTTTGGCAAAGATTTGGAGAGCTGCTTTTCTTTTCTTGCTTTGCTCTCTGTGACTTGATTTCTCTATTAGTGCTTTAATTTTGTACATTGTTTCTTACAATGCCAACTGATTGAAATTGTATAACTTGCTTAGCTGAATGACTATTATTTTTTTATAAGGAGATGGTTATTGAGTATGTTTTCCTATTTAATTGTGTATCATATTTTGGTCTTGGTTTGAGACATTTGACTGGTTGCAAGAAAACTGTGGGTGTTTTTAACATTTCCAACGGAAGGGTAGGGCGGGTGGGGAAGCTCTTTGGAATGCTGATGAATAATATTTGACTCTTGGAAATGTCTTAAGGCCATGTGCTCCCCTACCATGCTTGGAAGGCTAAACATAGTTTTAAAGACCTGTGGTCTTGAAGGTATTACCATTGTGCTTTATTTTCTTTCTAACTGGCTGGAGTTGAGAAAACAGTTGAAATGCTGAGGGTTAGTGCAGGAGTACTCTGCAGATGGTGATCTTCATTTGTGCCCCTGCTACTCCTGTCTGTGGCATGGTGCCCCGTTAATCCTGTGGATGTCAATCATAGGGTTTAATTCTACTACTTTTCCTTCCTAGATGTACTTAATTTCAAAAATTAAGTAACTTTTGAGATGTTGATGTCTGTAGCATCTATAAGCATAGCAGAAATTGCCTTACAGTAGAACACGAGTAGGGAACTGCAGTAACTTGCAATTCAGTGTGTTTTCAATAGCAGAGCAATCATAGAATCATACAATCATAGAACAGTTTGAGTTGGAAAGGACCTTAAGATCATCTAGTTCCAACCCCCCTGCCATGGGCAGGGACAGCTCACACTAAACCATGTCACCCAAGGCTCTGTCCAACCTGGCCTTGAACACTGCCAGGGATGGAGCATTCACAGGTTCCCTGGGCAACCCATTCCTGTGCCTCACCACCCTAACAGGAAAGAATTTCCTCCTTATAGCCAATCTAAACTTCCCCTGTTTAAGTTTTAGCCCATTACCCCTTGTCCTGTCACTACAGTCCCTAATGAAGAGTCCCTCCCCACCATCCCTATAGGCCTCTTCAGATACTGGAAGGCTGCTAGGAGGTCTCCATGCAGCCTTCTCTTCTCCAGGCTGAACAGCCCCAACTTCCTCAGCCTGTCTTCATACAGGAGGTGCTCCAGTCCCCTGATCATCCTCGTGGCCCTCCTCTGGACTTGTTCCAACAGTTCCATGTCCTTTTTATGTTGAGGACACCAGAACTGCACACAATGCTCCAAGTGAGGTCTCATGACAGCGGTGTCCTTCAACCTGCTGGTCACGCTCCTTTTGATGCAGCCCAGGATACGGTTGGCTTTCTGGACTGCGAGCGCACACTGAAGCTGGCTCATGTTAAGTTCCTCATCAAAACTATATAATAAAGCAATAATTCATAACATTTTCCCCTCCACTTTCTCCTAGTACTTGAGTCCAAAGCAGAGTAGATACAGATTGGATTGTTCCCCCCTGTTTTGAAAAGCAGGTATTTAGTGAATATAGAGTCTGCTGACTTCTGTGCTTGTGGTAAAGGATGTTTTCCTTCCTCTGCATTTGCAGAAATGATCAGTTCTCATCATCAAATGGTATCTTTTTAGCTTGTTTTAATTTCTAATAAACTCATGTGTTTTACTATACATGACTCTTGTTGCCTTTGGATAGTCATGTGTTTTCTTCATAAAAAGTTTCTGCTTTATTTATTTCCAGCTTTGATAATTTAACTGATAAACGCTGGCTATATGTGCACCTGCTCATCTTTTATTATCCTGGCTTATATATAAAATGTTTCTATTGAAATAAATCAGTCTTGTAATTTGAAAAATATACCAAACTTTAAGTTACTTTTTCCAGGTCATAGGTGTTTGACAGTTGAATACAAACCAACTGCTTGGCAGAATTTTAGTTTGATTCTCTGCCAACCAACTATAAAGTACAGCCTAATTTCTAAAAACTCCTGAGCTGTAAACTATCAGTCATGACCTAGTCATGCATACAGTAATAGAGGCTGACAAGAGTAATGAAGCCTATATATTATTATGGCCATGTACTGCATGTTATAACAGATCAGTAGTGTATTTTGTCACTCATGTATTTTGTCACGTTTATGTTGTGCAGCCCACACATCATCTTCCTGTCACAGAGTGTACTATCAGGAGGGAGCCAGCTCTGTGGAACACGTCTGTGCCATGAAATTGCTCATGCTTGGTTTGGACTGGCCATTGGTGCTCGCGATTGGACTGAAGAGTGGTTAAGTGAAGGGTTTGCCACTTTTTTAGAAGATGTATTTTGGGCTAAGGCACAACAGGTAAGGTGATGATACACCACTTCTCAATTCAATTATGTAGAAATCAAAATTACATACCCTGCTGTGAATTAGATATAAATTAAACCTCCTGTGTTAGGAATACAGGTCTTTTAAAATAATACTGGATTTTGCATGCTGACTTGATTAAAAAAAATAATCCTTCCTTATTCACAGTGAATACTAATCTTTACAGAAGTAGAGGTCAGTGCAAATAGGAATGGAAACATCTGTTTGTCAATGATTACCTTCCCACAAATGTACTACTACATTATATTACTCTGTTGATTTGCATTCTTTCCACTTGTTTTGTGTTCCTGAAACTGGAACAATCACCAGTCTTACTGAATATTGTAATATACCAGGTACCTAATGAAAATGATCTGGTTTTGTTCAGTGGATAGCCAAGAAGCAATCTTCAAAACAAAATGGAAGCTAATGAACAGAGGACTTACACTTTTTTTTTTCTCTTATACTGCCCAGGAAAGCTTACCCCCATGTTAGAGGATAAGAAATCATTGTCTGCCTCAAACTGAAAAGCTTGTACACTGCATGACAGCTAGTAAAGTGGTTTCCTGATCTAATTCTTGGTTTTGTTGTAGCCCTGCTATGTTAAGCATTTCGTATGTTAGTCATTTGTTCCTGTGCTTCTGTCAGGCTCTTGTTCTGCCCCTCAAGACTGCAGAGCTCTATCTGTGGAAGAGCAGTGGGGAGAAGGAACTAATATTTAACCTCCATTCTGTTAAGTATCAGGAATATTTATACCACCAACCAGAACAGAATTTCTGGTCACTTACCATGTTTCTGGAACAAGAAAGAGACAAAGGCTGTTCAAACACTTTGCTTTTCCCTTCTGGTCCTAAAACTAATTTCTGCCCTTACTTGAGCATCACTGCTCTGCTGTGAGCTGTTCCCATTAATTCTATGCTTTTGTGAGTCACTTGAAAGCATTTTCATTGTAGTAGACGCCCTTCCATGTAGCTAAGTGGAAAAGAGAAAATAACAAAACAGGGTGATTAGTGCCTTTGTTAATTTCGAAGGTCAGAAAAATCCCTTTTTGTTTTTTTTTTCTAGCCTTATTGGGTAGTTTTGGTGCTGTGCAATTATGCAATTGTTCAGTTGTAAGATTGTGAGTATATTCCATAGTGTCTGACAGTAACTTCACTTGTGACTGAAATACTGGTGTAATGCAGGATAATGCTAGCTGCTTTTGCTTTCTCCCATCTTCCATCTTTTCTTATAACAGAGAAATATAAATTAGCAGTTATTTGTAAGATGACAACCTGGCATTTATTTCTTAAGCATGCGTCTCTGTTAATACTATGTATATGGAGGAAAGTACAAGAAAGAGCTTTCACAAATGTAACAGAACTAATGGGAAAGAGGAGTGAAGTTGGGATACAAAGCAGCTCTTTTCTTTCAAGCTGGGAAAAGTAAAGATGCAACCAAAATTGCCAGGTATCTGTGCTGTACATTCAGTTCACTTATTGCCAGTCACTAAAGGGAAAACAACATGCCCATCTCTCTCCTCAGGCAGAACTATTTAACTGACTATTGATTTGATGCACACAGTGAGGCTTCTGTTTTCCTTAGTGCTGCTATTAACTCTCATAGCAGCAGCTGTTATGTTTTGGTTTTGTTGTTTGGGTTTTGTTTCGTTAGTTTTTTTTAACATGGATATAGGTACTGTTTCCTGCAGCTTCTGTGCATTAAAGGGAAACAAAACAAGTTTGTCTTTCTGAAAATTATTATTGTCTGTTGGGAAACAGCAATTGGTGATCGGTGTTTTTTGTATACTAAGCAGCTGTCACATGATGAAGTAAAAGGGCTGCAGGAATTGAAAGCTTTACTTCGCTGGCGCCGACTCAGAGATGAGGTGCAGAACTCTGAAGAAGAGCTGCAAGTTTTAAGGTAACAGTATCACAGTTTAATTTCTGCTTTTGCATGTTCTGTCTCTACTGTTTTCCACCAGTTTCTTCTTTCAAAGGCTATACATCCAAATAATCTGGTTAAATCTACTACATTTCCTTATTTCCTCTGAAGAAAAAAAGAAAAGTGAAATTAAATTCACTAGGTTATTTGTCTTCTCTGTAATTCTGCAATTGCTTTTCTCTTTGTTATAGAATGCTTTCAAAAACCGTGGGATTTAGTTTGATATAAAACATCTCTAAGCAGTTTACAAGACCCTTTATTCAGGAAAAAAAAAAAAAAGGCCATTTCCTGACATACTTCACTGTTTGAAGCTGTAACAGATTCATTTTCTGTGGCTGAAGACAAGCACATACTGGAGTGTGGTATCTAACTGCCAAGCTGTATGAAAATTTAAAAAAGAGGGGGAAAAGTACAGTGAGCTATAGAAATCTACTTTTATTTATTTATTTTTTTTTTTAGAAATGAGTAATAATCATATTTAAACAAGAATTCGGTCTTTAGGTATCAGATGCTGAGCTCAAAGCTTCTTCTTACGTAGCTAAAGACATTTGATCCAAAAGAGATTCTTGCTTTGCTAATGATACGTAATCTGGGCTGTGCTGATTGGTGTCATAGGAATTTGCCATATTCTTTCACCTTGAGTGGCTGCCTAACATCTCCACTGCTTGTCTGCCCACAGTCTTTAACCGAAAAATGCAAGTTTACTAATCCTAGCTGAGATTAGCTTTGGTCAAATAATGGAATTACAGGGACAGATTTCAAGAGATTATGTAGACCGTTCTCCTACCCTGAGACACAGGCAGTATATACAGACCAATTCAAGTAGGTCTTATCTAATATTTTCTGAGAAACCTTCAATAAAAAAGTTTCCATGGTTCCTGGCTAAGCTGTTCTTAGTGTTAACAATTAAAAATGCACAGCTGAAATACTGTTCATTTCAAAAAATATAGTTTTATTCATTTCTTTCACCAAGTAGAAGTGAAGAACAAATCGATTCCCATCCTCTCTGTATGATCATCTTTTACATGGTTTTAGAAGACTTTTGCCATTTCATTCACCTTGAGATCTTTGTTTCTTTTTGTGCTTTTCCCATAGGACCTAAAAGCCTTTTAGTTTTGGGCAATAGAGATTGTTCACCAACATAGAAACTCCTCTCTATGGCCTCATCTAATCTGAAAACGTCACCAACTGCGTAATTGTAGTCTTTCATTGACCGGTTTTACTTCGTGTCTGTTAGTTAATTGTGTATCCTACGTATAAGCAGGGTCAGTGAAATTATACATTTGTAATTTTGCGATTTGATGATAGGTGTAAATACAAAAGCAGGCTTTATCACAAGCTGTCATGGAGCTGCTGCCAGTGCAACTACTGATTTACAGATGCTGGGGGTTTTGTTTATTTTAAAATAAATGTTTTTTTAGGAACACTGGTTCTTATGATAATGAGGCTTATCTTGAGGTATATTTTCCATTTTCAAGGTTATGAAACCCCATTTGCTACTTTTAATAAAATATCTATGCGGTGTAAATTTTTAAAATCATTTTTCGAAGGGCCAAAATGTCTTTTGCAGCTTGAAACTCAGGAAGGATTGATTTATACTGAAATTGGAACTTAAGCTTTCTGTTGACTTCCACAGTTAGTAGACAGAAGTCTCAAATAAACATACGGCTTACCTTTTTCGTAGTGGTATTCTCAGTGCTAATACAAAAGAATGATGTATCATTTCTTGTTTGAAAAATATGCTTCTCATGTACACTTCAGTAGTAGAACATGATGCCAGCTCAGGATCCTAGCAATCTCTTCCTTTTTGCTATCTTTAATTTCTTGTGGTTGCATTTAAGGACTTACCACTGGTTCACTCAGATATAAATATTCTTTACTATTTTTGTGGAGAGAGTTCTCTCTTTGCATGTTTACTGTTTTTTTGTTTGTTTTTTTTTTTTTTTCTTTCCTTCCCCTTTTGAAAGTATATGCATGTGCTTTCCAGAGGTTGTCTATGAGAGAGAAAATTCCAGTCTTGGCATCACACTGGTTTTTGAGTCTGTACTGGGACTTGTCCTGGTTCAAGCTTGTGTTTTTATGCCAGGATATTAAAAATGAATGATAAGAGTTTGTTATTTCTTGCCAATTATGTCAGGAATTAAAAAAAAAATATCAGCCAACCTGTTCTTCCCAAGCATAAACTTAATCTTCAATTACTTTTTTGTTGCCTGCTGGGAAATCATATGATTTTTTTATGCTTTGCTTGTTCAGACTAGGTGAAAGCCACTCAGCAAACTGATCATCAGTATGATGGTTCTTCTTATAGTGGATATTTGGCATTACATTATAGTAGTATCTCAGGAGTTTCCTGTGAAAAAGAAGTCATGTATGGAAGAAATACATAAGTATCTTTTGAGCAGGCAGCAGCTCTGAAAGGCAGCACCAGCAGTTCTTGGTTTGGAAGAAGAAGTTTGTGGCATTGTAGTGCTTATACAGGATAAGACATCAGGCAGAATCCTGTGTAATTTCTCAGTTTGAAGCAAATCTGCAGGTATAAAAGCACCTGTGAAGTATGTGATGGCACTTACTCTGCTGGCAAGTATCAAATCCATCACTCTCATCCAATGTCTCACATTATGACAGCAAATAGAGAAGTCTGTTTTGTTCTGTGGAATAAAGCTGGTGTTGAGATTGTTTCATGTCCTTGCCCATAAGACTGAACTTCAGCTTGTGATTCTTCCTTAAGACAAACCAGCGTTGATATCTAACTCTAAATTTGTCTCTGAGTTCCACTTGAGTCAAGTGTATTTCCCTCTTGAAGCAATGCTCTGACTACACTGTAGGGGTTTAAAGAGTTTTATTCTGTCACACAGATAGACACAGATATCACACAGGAAACTCACCTTTCAGATGGTCTCTCCTAGTCTCTATGTAGGTTTTCAGGACTACCTAATGCATCAGAGCATTTAATTACGAAGTACTTCCTGGTGAATTGTGATTTTACTTTCTACAAAATACTTCTTAGCCTGGCAAACAAAATTCCTACTTCCTTCAGAAATTTTCCAGTATGTAAAATGTTCATGTAGCAGCTCGATTACTTTATATCAGCTTGCCTTTAACATTATCCCTAGCTTCATCTACTGGGTTAGTTGCCAGGTTTTGTAGGTCAGTGTAACGCACCTCCAGTCTCTGCCTTCAATGTGTTGTAAATATACTAAGCATTGCTTTAAAATAGTGTACTGAAGTACTGACATAAATACCTACAACGTAAATTTCTGAGTATTTATCCTTTTGCACACATTATCAGGGGTATATATATGCACCCTTTGCAAAATGAAATTCTTGAGTACAATCATGCAGATGGGATACTGCTTTCCATTCACCTGCTAGTATCTACAGAGTCACAAATTTGGAGGAGGAAGGAAGTATGGTTCCCTAATTTACAACAATTATGATTATGGGAGGTATTTCAGTTTAGTGTGGATCCTGTAGCCCATGCTCAAACTCCATTTTTCAAAGTCTATTTACTGGCCTATATATTATGGGAGAAATGAAGCATTTTTGGCTTTTTATACTCACAGAGAACAATGAAAAGTTGCCAGCAGGCCTTCCTTCCAGGAGGCTGATCCAGAATGGAAACAGGTGGACCTCTGCTATCCTGCAGTGGGTCTGCAATGATTACATTGTCTGCTACCACAGGATAAGAAATCAGTTATTGATCTCCTCCTTTCAATGTTGAAAGAAAATACTAACTATAACATGTTAAAGGCATTTGTTAGGAACAGTGTAAAACTGAATTGCTTTTATTTTTTTCTATTTTATTTCAAACGGTTGTATTTGATCAAACTTTTACTGTGGGAAGTGGGTTTCATCTGCACACATCCTAAATACAGTGCCTAAAGAGTGAAAAAATCCAGCTTCGCACTCAGGACAAAACTAATGAGAAATCATTACACAGATACAAATAAGGAAGAATGTTTTCCTCAAAGCAGACATAGATATAAATTTGATCACAGAGATTAGCTCATGAGAAGTGTATCAGTGCTTTGAAGAATCCTGCACTGCTGTAGCCTATGTTGCCCCTATTCTGGAGAAGTGGGAGGAAAGATGTTTGATTTCTAAGACTGGCCATTTCAGAATCCACACTTAGAATTGGGGAGGTTGCTTCAGTTACAGGGTTAGGCTCCTAACATAGACGTCTATTCTCAGACCACTGTCAGCTGCAACATTTTCTGGATGGAAGAAAGTAAGCTGTAGGGATCTTGAGTACCATGACTGTGAAGGCACTGCTTACAAATTAATTAAAAAATGTTTGCATAGCTTCTCTTTAGTTTCACTCTGTGTTAATAAAAGCCTAGAAGTTGTCCACACTTTACTGCTGTGGGTATTTCTTGTGCATGCAGATGAAAGAGGTGATTCTTGCAAGTATAGTTGTGTAAACTATTAAACCAGTGTTTAGGTATAAGAAGAGAAAATTCTACTTGAAGATAATGTCTTCAGTATCCTCCCCTTCCCTTTTTGCTTCATCTTCCCTTTTGCTCTTCCCCTTTCCCTCTCCCCTCTCCCTTTCTCCTTCTACTTTCCTTTCCCATTCTCCTATCTCTTTTTGTTTGTTTTTCTTTATTCATAATGAGTCTGCACTGTAGAATGGCAGGCAGTGTGATGCCATACTAGCTGTGAAAAGAGTACACCAACATAGTGACGTATTTCTTTTGTAACCCAGCTGTCTGATCCCCTATGTACAAAATTTCATTAAAAGTATGAAATTTTTTTGTTCGTCTGTCTAAGCCAAGTTATTTACTTAAGGTAAAGAAATAGTCACAGGTGTCTAAACTTACTATGCTATTCACAATGCTTTCAACTATAAGAATGTGCAATGTATGAGTAATTTCTTTATTTACTTCCCCAAGACTTAATTACTCTGTTACCATTTTAGGCCCAAAAAGGAAAGCACAGGAGAAACGAGCGAGTCTGGAGCATCCATTGTCAAACATGGTCTTAAAGCAGAAAAAGTCTTCATGCAGGTCCACTACTTAAAGGTGAGTGTTGTCAGCTGATTTTTAATCAAATTGCTTTACTAATATGGTAAAAAGCTTCTTTTTTTTAGACATGAACAAATTCATAGCATCCTATTTGTTTCTTGTTTAATTTGCAGGGTTACTTCCTTTTGCGGTCTCTGGCAAGGACAATAGGAGAGGCTTCATACCTTTCATCTTTACGAAAATTTGTCCATAAGTTCCATGGACAGCTTGTCCTTTCTCAGGTACTGTGCTCGGGGTTGCTCTTCACTTTCTGGAAAAAAAGCCCAACAAAACAAATTATCTAAACTTTTGGTTCTGTCTGTGGTGAAAAGAGAGAGGCAATTGTGACTTGGCAATATTGGTAAAATTCCTACCTGCTAGAGGGCAGAACATTTTTTTTTAAGGTGATACATAAACTGGATACCCTACTAGTATCTGTTAATATAAACAGTGGGTGATTTTAGTATTTGGTTTTTTTTTATTTAAACTTGATGCTTTGAAAGGTCAGTGCTTGTAGGTGCTGCTGTTCTCAAAGACAGGGTCATTTACTGTACTGGAATTGTCTCCTGTAGTCTTTTAGCTCATGGGTTTTGGTTGTGGTCAGTCAGCCTTTTCCTTGATAGCTCTCTGTTTCTGACAGAGAAGAAGCACAGAGTAGGAATGCAACTGAAAACTTCTACACATAATAACAGTGTGTGCACATTGTATTTCTGATTCTCTACATGCTGCTTCATTCGGTGCTTGTAACTTCACAGTCTTTCTTATCAGCATGGCAGTCTTTTTCTCATTAAGTCAGAGAGTGGTGTCCCCATCACTCTGACATTACACTCACCCGTATCACAGTCTTGTAAGCCTCTATATAGGTTCCCTCATCATGGTCCATACTCCCATGTTTCCTAGCATTATGTTACTGAAGGAAACATCCTTCTAGGATGTTTAAGATGTTCTGCTTCTTTCTTTCAGCAGACCTTCTCTGACAATGATACCATGCAGTAGCAGCCCTACCTGAAGAGCACTTGTTCTCATAGGACAGGATTTCTTCCTAGACTGGTGAAGCCTTGGTTGTAAATGTAATGTTGAATTAGGAATATGAATCTATCCTCCAAAGTCCAACTGCATATGTTAATCACTTGAATTACAGACCTAGTTGTTCTCTTCCTGTCATAAATGGTATATAATTGCTCCATGCAAAGTGGAATAGCTTCAAAAGAAAACATTAAGCAAGTCACACCACAGTATCTCATACCATCTGTTATGTAGAGAGCCCAACTGGGGTTATAAATAGAAATCTACCTCCCCCTAAGTCTTTCTGAAAATGTCCTGTAACCACTGGCTGTAGTGTTAAAAGAGAGTCTTGTTTTCCAGTGTTTTATTTTGAGAACGGAATGACGTATTTCACCAAAACCAAAGTTCTAGGGAATCCTCTCATTGGTGACGAGTCCAGCTTGTGCCATGGCACTGTTGCTTGTTGCTTCGGTAATGCTGTGAAAACAACCATTGATTGGGGTGCCTGTGAAGCAGGGCACTGAACTCATCATGGTTAAAACCAGGCCTGGAACAAAAGAAACCGCATAACAAATATTTGGTATCACTAGAAGATCAGTGTGATGAGAGTGAGGGGTGGGGGAAGAGAGAGGAGGAGGAGGAATACATTTCTGAAAACAGTTTCTTTGCTGAAGTCTGTCTTTTCTTGCATTGTGGTTAAAATCTCTGAGGGGATTCAGGATGCTGATATACATCTCCTTGCAATGCAGAATAAGGGCCTGTGATTTTGAGGGAATGGGGTCTAACACTTTCCTGCCACAGGGATTCTTTGCTCGTGTGCTTGGTATTTTGTCTCACTCTCTTGGGGTGAGATGTATGCCCATGTATCTTACAGATAGCTCCCAGAACTGTAGAGTATTTTGTATGTCAAGTCACCCCGAAGTTAGGCGTAGTAGCTTTACTGCAGCAGCTTTACTCTGTGGAGGAACATCTGGGGTGATAAGGGAGTTAATGTTTCCACTGCTGCAGCTGTTTCCTGTACCATGTTATTGAGACCTTGAGTGGTTATGTTTGGCATAGTGTGGAAAATGACAGTGACTATATGAGCCTTGTCTACATTACGATGTCCAAAATCATAAATATGATGCTTTGCTATTACACATGCGGAAACTGACTGAAAGCAGAATTTGTAAGAAGCAGCCCAGTGTTTAAATCTGGTGGTAAGAGCGATGCTTGTTCCTCCTGGTTGATGTGAGGTGAGGTGTGTCAGTAGACTGATTAAATGCTGCAAAATGTCTTAGCACATTATACTATTAGTCATGATAGCTAGATTGCATTGCAATTGAACTACGCATCTACTAGAGACTTCTTCCTCTGTCCAACACTCTACTATGAAATGTTAATCTGTACTGTACTAACTTCAGTCTCATAAAATGAAATACTGTATGTTGTTTCTGCACCCAGAAACAAACCATTCTGGTTATTGGTTAAAAGCATTGTTCAGTGTTTTTAATTATGCAAGCAAGATTAAGTCATGCTTTTATTTCAGGTTTCTTACGTTACTGTTTGTTTAAATACATGCAATATATCCATAGGTATATGCTTAATGTAGGTCAAAAAAATATAGTTTCCTACTTTCCTTCATTTGAAGATACCTAATTTGGTGGGAAAAGAGCTGTGTACTATGTAACTTGTGCGCTTTTTTGTACTTTTACCTTGTTTCACAGCAGCCTAAATCCATCTCCCACTGAAGCTGCTGAGAATAGGATTTTAACATCATCCTGTTGTTTGGTCACTATGTAAAAACTGCAAAGGGGATGCAGAAATGATAGGGCTATAACCAGTTGTAAATGCATTTACTTTCTTCATAAGATTATGTTAGTGTCTAGTATTGGCAGATTAGCAATCACAGCAGGAATTGCAAATGCAGAAGTAATGAAGTCAAGTTAGTACAAAGTTTATTATTCAAGTTCCTTTTTGAACAAACATTCTGTCAGTGTTTAAATGAATAAAAGATTTAAAATAAATAGAGGTGCAAATGGTAGGTTTAAATATCATAATGTTGTACTTTCACCTTGTCCAAAATAATTGTGAAAGTTCCCAGCTTTAGGAATTGTAGCTATGAGGGAATGTAAACCCAGTGAAAATAATTGCCCATGTTCTGAATACTAGTCTTGTTTTCAGTGGTGTTTGCAGTATTTTTCCTAGATGGGAGCTGCAGGTGCAAGGAAATGACTTCAGATGTGAAACATTAATCAGTTTGCCTTTTTCCTTCATTTTGGTTGCGTGCTCAGTATGTTTTTAATAGTAGTTTTTGTTTATTTTAGTTGAGTTAGCAACAGACGAGTAAAGCAAGTCTGGAATCTTTGAAAAAGATTTTTAAAAATCTTCCATTTTTCTTTCTGTGAGAGAATTCAGTCACTAACTGCTTTGACTTAACTTTTAAAATAATGAATGGAGTGCTACTGACTATAAATAAATCGAAGGGAGTGTTAGTTGCTGATATTCCTAAAACAGTTAAACCTGGTGTTCAGTTTGATACTGAAATAAGAACACTTTGGAATTGAATTGTTTGAAGACTTCAATTTTCATGTATTTCTGTCTGCTATAATAATAAACCAACATCTGTAGAAGTCATCTATCAGATACAAGCTATGGTTTGCTGTAGTAAAGTTACACTCAAGAAGGCACTGCTTAAAACAAAAATCATAATTTATGCTATTTGTGAAAGTTTTAAAGGCAGATGTGTGGATCCAAGCCCACTCTGTATGTACCTATATAACATGTCCAGCATACTGATTTGCATGGGTACATACTATTATCATAGTTTTATAAGATTGGTATCTGCACACACATCTCCATTCAACTATTCATTAGCATGTAGAGCTCTTGTAACTAGAATTGGAAGTCTAAGAATGCAGTGTGCATGTATTTTGATGTTTCAACCTCTAGAATCTCTTCTTTAGATGAAAGTTGAGATAAAGTTTGTCTCTGCAGTTTCATGCTTAGTGTTGCATGCTTACTGACCTGGGACCTTGAGCAAAACACTGTTGACGTCCTTGAGGCATGGTCTGGACTGTGGCACTGTCCCATACAGAGCAGCCTCCAGGACAGGGGTCTTTGCTTTCTACACTCTCATATGCTTGTAAAACAGAAATAGATGGGTCTGTTTTGCTAAGATTGAGTTCATTTCCTCTTCCAATTCTTGCGTAAATGTCCATATTCCTGCTTTTATTTAGCTGTGCACCACACAGCCTTTATTCACTTTCCTTATATATTTGTGTTATAACATAACCTTTAATTAATGCATGATCACAGTCCTTTTATTATTTTTTTACCAAAGATCTTTCCCTCATTTATGTAAAATAGGTATTGCTCTCATATGAAGCAGCTGTTTGGTATTTTGTTCTCTGTTGTTCGCAGACACTTTATTTAACGTACAATATGCTTTTCTTTCTGTTCAACCTTTTAACAAGTGTAAGGCAACAAAAAAAGACTGCTTCACTAGGTCATACATTTTACCCTAAATTAACTGTGTTTAAAATGCTTATGTATTTGACAAGTGATTAATGTATGGGTCAGTTAACTATATTGCACATTTTGACAACCCACTGTATTCATATTATATAATCTGACTAGCTTTAGGCCATATTTGTATTTTAGTACAAGTGTCTTGAAAGAAAGAAAGTATGAAATATTGTGCTTAAGTAAGTAAGACTGGGTTAGTAAAAGTCATTAACATGGTATAAGCCAATATTTGTGTTGTGAGAAAACTTTTTTTTACATTTTGCGTAATGATACAAGATAAACTGTCTATTTTAAAGGACAGAGATCAGAACGAAGTAGGGCTAGAAATGGAACTGGAGAAGAAACCAGAGCGTAGTGAAGCTAAGAGGAGCCCAGATGTTTTATAATTATGTATAATACAGATGAGCGATTAAAACCTCAGTTAATGTGTCACGCATTTTAGTGTCCAAAAGTATAATTGTATAAAAAGCCCAAAGTATCTTTTGGTATTCTGTAATTCAAGTAAAAAGATTTTAAAAGAAGAAGCAAGTTTGGCACGTTTAACTGTCTTCTATCAGGGAAGTGACCCATATATCTGAAAATGTCTTGGACCTTCCCGGTAGAGTACACAGATCCTTTCCATAGCTGCTGAACTTACCAAGTCTTGAGCCTAACTCTTAGCTGTGGGGTATCTTTTTGCATTTTCATTTCTGTTACAGTAGTATCTCACATCTCTGCTGACCTAAAGTTTTATTTGCTTAGCTTCCATTTAGTATTTTTCAAGCTTAAAATTACACGGTAGCTTGTTAATGCAATACAGTTTGATAGGAGAAAAGAGAAATTATTTGATTCTGATTAGAGTAAACTGACAAGGGAGCACTCAAAGCATGTGGGCGTTATTAGTGCTGAATCACAGCTCCAGCTTTTGATTTAGTGAGGTGTATTTTAAATAGAGTCAAATGCATCTTACCTGATTTTCTGCTGGATAGTCTTAAACAGAAGTCTGAAGAACAATTGAGGGCTCTATGTAGAACCATTGATACGTAACAGATCTAGTTTCTTATCTTTTTCTTAGCTATATGTGTGGTCTTACATGTTTATACGTGTAGAATAGGAGGAATCTATATTTAATTCAAATTTTTAGGTGGTGGTATATTTAGTGGACAGTGAGAAATTGTGTAACTTCTGAAAAAAATCAAAACATTTCAAATGAGTTTGAGACAACATAGGCACTGGTATTAGGAGAATGCATGTTCAAGCTGCATGCCTTCACTTTCTTGCCTGAGGTCTAGTTTGAACCTACCCATCAATGAGGTAAGAAGGAAAGATAAGGCTTTGTTCAGTGAATTAAGTGACAGTCAGTGTACTTTTTCCAACTTACCTGGTCCCTGAATGGACTTACCCGCTCTGAGGTGTTTTGACATGTATGAAGATGTGTTTTGTGAAAGACCTGGGCCTCTGACAGAAACCCTGTCACTAGTATAGCTGGGGTGATTTAAGGCTTGCTTCCCTTAGTTATTCACACTACACCTAAAAGGACGAATTCAGTCCAGTTAGTATGGACAATTTACCTAATATTGCTCTGTATGAAAATGCTAGACTGAATTTGGGCAGCTCAGGCAGAGATACTTTCTGTTGCTGTGCTACACAGGGATAATAATCCAACTCAGAGAAATGCTGGGGAAGGGCCATTCAGGGGGCCGATACCATCTTAAATACCCACAAGGAAGATTTACCAGAAATCCTTGCCCAGATCCTTTTATGTGCTGTTTTCTTGTTGCCACAATACTGGGTGATTTTTTTTTTTAGGGAATTGTTAGTGATCAGAACATAGTTCATTGGCACAGGGTAAATGGGAAACAAATTATGCCTTTGACTGGAGCTAGTCAGTGACTCCATCCCCTGGGGCTTAAACTGTTAAGCTAATGATTGCTGCCTGTTAATAGAATATACTGTAGGCGAGTCTTGCTTACTGTTGGTAGGAAGGTGTTGTCTGGGCTTGTTACCAAAACCCCAAGAGAAGGATTTCAACATGTTGCTGATTTTGTTAATTAAAAGCCAGGAAGGTGGATTGGGAGGGAATTCCAAATAAACAGGATGCTTGAAAGGGTATTCCTTATTTATTTTTCTACCTGAAAGGAACAAAGTAACATTTACCGTTTAGTTACATCATTTACAAACTGCATAATTGATAGGGTTAGTTTAATTTTGAATGGGTAACTTCCATAAGGAGTTGGATGTAAGTGCATTTGAAGTTTATTTGTTGCCAGCTGAATGTCCTTTTAGACATATCACTTCTAGTCATGAAATCTCCATTGTTTTATGCGCCCCATTTATATTTCCGTGAGAGAATTTAACTGAAAGTATCTATCTATTGGTTGTAGAGTACTTGAAATATGTAGATTTCAGTATTTCATAATAAGGATATAATTTGTCTTCTAATATTCAGTGTTCTTCATTTAATATCAACTGCGCATGATCAAAGCGAGGGACCTGTCTGGTGCCCCAAAATTGTTTGAGTAGAAACATACTGGCCATTGCTCAAAACAAGAATGGGAGTAACAATATAGCATCTTTAGCTACAAAATAAGAGGCCTTCTAAACCCATATCTGTCTAGTTACAACTTCAAGTAGCCTTCATTCCTAGGGTGCTCAAAATTACTTCTTTCAACGTACTTCTCAGTCATTAGGTCCTCACTGTTTGCCTTTGACTCAGACACGCTGTGCATTAACAATGCAAAGAAAACTACTTGATCTCAGTTCACAGTCTGTATCCAGATTTGATTTGCTCAGCAGCAGCCCAAAGTTGCAGTTGTGATTAAAATTATTGGCTTCAGTCTGGATTATGGTGAGAGCAGACAAGAGTCTTTAGGGAATTTAATTGTGAGGGTCTAGCAAGTTCTTAGTGAACTTAGTGAACTTGTGAGACTCATTTTTCAAAGGCTTTTTCAGTTTGGCCAAATGTAAATAAAATTGACTAAACCTCAGAGTAACAGTTTCTTTATACAGGGAAAAGTTGTTTTGTAGCCTCCAGCTTTCCACCTAGGGAAAACCAGGAGTATATACAGAAGTGAGATTATTTGATCATATAAATATAAGCCAGTTTGATAATCATGCAGCACCCTGGTGCCATGTGCTTTCTAGTTAATATTTTCTTTCTGGCTTCGTTGAATTCTTGCAAACAAAAGCAAAACTAAACCATAATTTATGATCTGACTCAATTTATGATTACCCTGGTCATCCATAAGTCTTTTCTTCAAAGTGTAAGGTCACTAGAACCCCTTAAGAAAATGGTATCAAAATTTAAAAAGCCCCAGCTTATTCCCAAACTTTTCTCTTGGACCATGTCATGTGGGAGGAAGAAAAACATAGCCTAAGGGTAGAATTTTACTCCAGATGGTTAAAGTTTGGCAAAATTATAAGCAACTGAAAAGTCAGACCTATAACAGGATGTGTCATGCAGACTTGATAATAGGCCATGCAAATATGAGGTAAATGGTAATGTGTTTTCCTACTCTATTTTGGAGCGTCAAAATAGGAGTGTTTAAAATAAGATACATTAATCCTAATTTTAAGAAAGTGTGTAGCATGGTGTTTACTGCCTTATTCTCAATAGATATTTGGGAAAATAAGACAGCTTTAATCACAAAGGAAATGTTTAATTTCATAGTACAAGATACAGAATATAAAAAACCTTCTAATACCAGATGTATCTTCAAGAGTCCTATAGGACTGATTATAAAAAGTTGATGCAATCCAATCATAGAATCTAGCTACATTAATGTATACAGAGATGGTGCAAATAGTGTCAAGAATCATTACTTCAGTATTACTTTTCATGCAGTTTTGAAACAACTCTATTAACAATCTTTCCATATTCTTTATGTAAGCTCACTCTGTACCTCCAGCAAAACTTCCACATGTAGAAGGAGACAGTAGTTCTCTACTTACGTACAGAATAATGGTACAGAACTGCAAGTAGTAGTATGAAATATGGGGTTTTCATACTTTATCATCATGTCATCAGTACACTGTAGTTAGGTCAGAATGACTTCTGGCGAAGTTATGATGACATTCATGGCACAGCAACACTGAGCCCAGCACTGTGTAATTTAACCTTTCATTGTAAGCAAATTTTTCAGCTATTGCAACATAGCCTGAATTTCACTTGTAATCTAAAGGAGGAAGGCTTAACAATGTTACCAGTAGTTTCAATTGTTCAATCACTCTTTGATTCCCTAACAATACCATAATCAGAGTAACAGCATCTTCTGTTGAATGCTGTGACAGAGTACCTAAGTTACGTAAGTTAGGTACTCTGTTTTAGGAAACATTATTCTTTAAAATCTTTGAGAACAAGTACTTGCAATCAGAAATCAGCCTGTGCTCAGGTACTGCATCATTAGCCTATGAAACTTGTCTTCACAAAGATTAGTATTAAGAAAGTGGATGTATTGTTTTATTAAATAGCATGTAAATGAATAATTCGTATTAATATATCCTTATGAATTTGTTCAGAGGAGTGTATTGTGTCAAAGTGATTCTCATTAAAAATAGGTCATGTAGTGTGAGGTGCAAGAGAACCTTCAAGTGATGTCAGGTGTAACTTTCAAAAGAGGGTTTATCACAGAGTTGTAAGTGAGGATGATTGTAAGGCTCTTTCACTGGCATTTCACCTTCTTACATATCTATGAAAGAAATTCTATCTACCAATTCTAGCTACATTTTCTTTGATGAATTTGCTCCTTAGTTGCTGTGGTTGGCAGCAACATTGTGAATTTTGTCATACAATGAGGAGTAGGTGTGACATTCCCACCTGTGTGGGAATGCATTAAGGGGAAAAAAAGGCCTTACGTGGTTAATTGAAGACAGTGTGATAACATAAGCACAGTGGAGGAAACATAAACACCCTCAATTCTGATTGGTGTTTCTTAGCTCCTGAGTGTGTGAATCTGCAGCCTTTAACAGTTTTAAATATAGTTTGTCTGTATTATAGATTAAATGAAAATGGAAATGTGGGATTATGTTTAAATAGGCAGCAGGCTTTTCAAGCCCATTTTCTTTCAATATTGACACTTTTTGCTTGAGTGGGTTGGAAAAATGACAAACATAACATATGTTGTATAAATAACCGAGCAGTATAGCACCATAGTGGATATATAAATTTCTTTCCTATCTGCAGTCTTTAAAAACCTCTCTCTCACTAGCAATGCAGGCACAGTTACATCTTCACAATTTTTTTAACTGTGGTGCTTTGTTCATTTTCTAGGATTTTCTTTGCATGCTGTTGGAAGACATACCTGAACAAAAAGAGTAAGTGAGAACCAGGCTAGAAAAGTCAAATAAGAAAGTAGAAAGTAAATGTGAATATCAGTTATGCTGGCCAGAAATAGTAGGATTTCATTTAGTTTTGCTCCGCTTGTTTTTTTCAAGTTTGTATGTGTAACTTTCTCTGAAAATCCTCACAGATACATACACAAAAAACACAAGACTTGCTGCGTTGTTCTATCCCATGGTTGCCGTGATCGCCAAGCAGTGCATTTAACTTGCATAGGACAGTAGTGAAGTCCTATATTCACTATATGATCTGAAGTGCCAGGCAGAGCTGCATGCTCAAACTGATTTGTGATCCTCTTACCACCTGCTTTTGGCACATGGCACCCTAGAGCAAGGAGGCCAGAGCTTTGTTGTGAATGCAGGAAACTAGAGAAGATGGATCTTTCTCAAGCAGTAGTGTGGTACCATCCTTGTCTTGCCATGCAGTATTCCAAACAGGGAAGGATGGAAAATGTCAATGGAAATCCAGCATTAATTGCCTGACATGTCCTTCCAAATCCTTCTATGTGTGATGGTTACTGGCTGAAGATGATAGTCTTTAGCAGAGCTTTGAAACCATCCCTGCTTCTACATTGGTTTGCTCTGTATAACTACAGGCTGTGATACAAATACAGGTAGAGCTTTGAGGTAAAGCTTTGCACATTATAGCTTTTAAAAACAATGTATTCACTTGAAAAATCCAGGTTTGGGGAACAAAATTCCAAAGTCTTCATAACTCTGGGTGAGTAGTTTGGGGGGGGGGGGGGGGGGGAAGGTGAGAAGATATACACAGAATTCAAATGTATTGATATTTTAGTGAAACTATTCTGTTCTTAGGGGGTGAGGGACAGAGAAGCTAGTTATCACTGAGATAATGCGTTTTGTGGCATCATGAGTTTAATCTGGGTGGTGGTAAATTTTCCAGTGACGTACCATAGGATGATACTTTGTTTATGTCACTGAATACGGGTTTCCAGCTCAAATATAATCAGGAGTATTAAATGGAATATATATGAAAGTTAATTATTTAATGGCATGATTATACACTGATTTGTTAATGAAACCTCTGCTTTCCTTCCTTTTTTCACTTGTGTTTTTCTGAAGTCCAAACCCAGTGCAAATGTTATTTGAGTAAGCATCCAATTTTCCACCTAGAAATATGCCAAAATATTTAAACTTTCAGTGAGACTAATGCAAAAGAAGTATGTCTCTATTTGCATTGCATCACTCCTGAATGTATTAACAAAATTTCAGATTTATGGTAATTAATTTTACAATCAAGCATACCACATATCTGAACTTACCTACTGCCAAAGTTACCATGGGTGCAGATATCAACAACGATGCCAAAAATAACAGAACATCTGGATATACAAAAGTCCTTTATTTCTTATCTGCTACAAAGATTTTTTTTTCATTCTTGAACATATTCTGTTGCTAGTACACAAATACTAGCCTGAGGTAAAAGCAAAGGAAGGAACTATAAAAATGATATATCTTTAGAGATCATCTGCTGATGAGCTGCACAAAGTTTCAGTTGTAGGAATTAAATGCATTTCAAGATTAGAGCAACAGAATTCTCTGTAGCACACAAAACTTCCTAGACTTGTTCACTTCTACCAAGTAAAATTTTAATGTTTAAACTAAAGGATCCTTACTTGAAAAATATGAAATGCTCTAATATACTGATGTTTGTAATGGAGTCTGGATTTAATAATTACCAAAAAAAAAAAAAAAAGAAGAAGAAAATACAAATTATTAGTAGGGAATCAAGCCAAATCCTTGCTTCAACTGCGGCAACAGAGGCAAACTAGTCTAGCCGAAGCAGAATTTGGTTTATGGGAGACTTTTGTAATGAGAACAGGATTAACATTGGCAGAAAGCAATCATACAACAGTGTGGAAATTTCTGTAATTATTATGTTGTGGTAATGCAACATTAGCTTTCTGCTGTTGGACACAGCAGACTATATTTAAAAGATTCTCACTCTTTCAGTACTTAATTCCTTTAGTTTTCAGTTACATGAGATTTTTTAGTACATTCCCAGCAATGAGCAGTTCCAAGATACAGACATAACCTCTTAAGTGGCAGTTATTGATTTTTGCTGCCTTCTGTACTCAGAGGAGGAGGATTATATACCTGGTTTATAGGGCTGCTTCACTTCCTGCTCTGACTCAATTTTAATGGCGTCTTAGCTGTTGGGATCCATTCTGCAAAGAATGTTTCTGGACTGCAGCTGAATACTGACATCAGACAGCCCTAGCACTACCTCTGGTTCTTTAGAACTTCCCAACTTGTTCTTACAGAAGATCATTTCTTTATGTGAAGGGCTAATGGCAAGAAAGACAAACAAATATCTATCATTATCCTTTTCTGTTTTCAAAGCCTTTTAAAATATAACTTGCACTGGCTGTAGTCTCATTATCATGGACATTCTGTAAAAAACACACAATACTTCCCACCTGTAACAGGCATCTTATTTCCTCATATATAATTTGAAATGTCACTAAATAAAGTAAAATTAGAAAACAAAATACAAAACCAAAAAAAAAAAACACCCAAAAAGGAAACATAAATCAATCAACAACAAAACACCCTCTTATGTGTCTGTGTGTCTGTATATCAGAGTGCACTAGATCTAAAACTCCCATTGGCTCTGTTCTCTCCAAGGCTTGCACCCACAGTCTTTGCTGTAAATTGATCCTCTCCATGTCTGCCCAACATGTGCTCTGTGCAGACTCAATGTTTTTAAGACCCTGTAACAGAGAGTGAATTTTACCAGCCTTGGATAAATCAGAGTCACAGCTGCTTGTGCTCTTTATGCCTGCAGATTTTTTTTTGAGCAAGTCAGTTCTGTTCTTTGGGGTTTTCTGGTGGTATTTTTTATTTATTTTCATTCCATAAAATAAGTGTACTAATAAAGCTATGGTTTTAATATTTCACAATAGACAAAGGAAGGCTTGTGTTACAGCTCTGCTATTTGTACTGTTAATAACTCAGGCTTACTAACGACATTCCTTGGGTGTCTTAGTAAGTTGTCAGTTAAGTACTAATTAATATCAATGATTTAATTGATATTAAAATAATGCTGCAGTTTCAAACAACTCAGCTATACAGGTGTATATTTCTTTTTTTCAGAGTTGCTTTCTTTGTTGCTCACATTGTTGTAAATACAGCGATTTTGATTGAGACAAACAGCTGGTAGACATCTAAGGCCGAAAGCAAATCACTGGGAAAGATTTTTCCCAGTGGTTTTAATTCCCTTGTTTTGTTTTTGTTTTTTTTTTGTCTTTTTTTTTTCTTGTCTGGCTAGTTAACAGAATCACTAATCATTCACTAGTCTTTTCTAGCTCTGCCTCCATATTTAGCTGGAATGGCTTACTTTGAAAATGATGGATGTGTATGAATGCTTATATGCAGATGAAACATATGTTTGTTGGAGTATTTTCAGTTGCACATGGCAGACTTTTTATCTTCCTTTTTTAAAAAAAATAAATGTTGCACATCTTCATGTGCACTGTTGATTTGCTGCAATATCTTATTCTAGAAGTGGTTTCTTCTCCTCAACTGCGGAATTAAGTGGGCTTATGGTAAAGTTTGTAGAGTGCCTTGGGGTCTTGTGCAATGAAAACTTGATGTACAGACATTTTTTATAATCCTAATTTTCAAGTTATCATTAATATTAGTATTTTACAGAGCTTGCTCTGAAGCATTGAATCTGGCTATGAACAGTATGTATGCATTTTAGGAGGTCATTCCTAGGCTGATTGTTTTGTAATCTAAACAAATAGACAAGGAATGACATAATGGATGTCATTATATTCTCATTTTACAGTAGGGAACGGTAGCACAAAACAGTTGAAGAACCTGCCCAGCCTTGTAAGAGCTCTATTACAGTGGGAATCAATTGTACCCAGATCTCACAGTCCAATAGTACTTTAACCAGAAGGCCTGTTCTATTCAGGAAATCACACACACCCCAGATTTAAGCCCTTACAGATGCTGAACTGCAACATAAGCAGGTGGTAAGTGCCCTTTCTGAATATTGATGCTTTACTGAACTGCAGCCCCTACAAGTATAAAGCCCTGTGTCCTTTCTCGAGGACACTCACTTTGAAACAACGATCTGTTTGTCATCTTTTCTGGGGCTTGATCCTTGTCCTGTATCATAAAAAAAAAAAACAAACCAAAAAAACAATAGGAAATGAAAGCATGTGTAAATGGTTTTATTGTTATTGTAATCTGAATGTTCTTTTTCCTTGATCTGCAGCTTCCATTTTTTGGTATGATGCTTTTGCCATGTATGCAAGCATATTTTAGGAGCTGAATGACAAAAGGCAGCATTTGTAAGGCAGGGCCTTCTCATTTTTAAAGCACCTGGTGTCTGATTTTTGCCTTTGTTACAAAATTCCAGTGTATGTTGCATAAATTTATTAAAACCAGATTGCTTATATTTTGCATATACTATTGAACAATTACTCAGTGAGGAGCCAGCTGACTCTCCACCCCTAACTCACATAGGCAAAATTTTAGACTGTTAAGTAGATCCGCTCATTTTAATGGACCTCCTTCAGAATACTGTTCATTTTGAGTAGGGATGGCAGATCTCCCACCACAGTGTTGTAGAGTGGAGGCTATAACTATTAATTCTACTTCCAGGGAATGCTAACTTCCAGGGAATGCTAACACATAGTTCTGCTTGGAGACAGAGGATAAATTTCCCATCTTGGATTCAACAGGGACAAGACTATCTAAGTCAGGATATAAGCCAGGTCTGGAAAAATGCTGTTGTTAATATAAGTAATTTAAATCTTCAGCAATTCCAAGTAAAAATATCCAAGTTTTAAAAAAGTAGTAACTATGGTTTGTAACCACATAGATACTTTTACTTTATGGCCAGGGTCATCTACTAACATATTCCATTATTTATTTATTTATTTATTTATTAGGGGCTGCAATGATAGGACAAGGGATAATTGGTTAAAACTTACACAGGGGAAGTTTAGATTGGCTATAAGGAGGAAGTTGTTTACTGTAAGGGTGGTGAGGCACTGGAATGGGTTGCCCAAGGAAGCTGTGAATGCTCCATCCCTGGTGGTGTTCAAGGCCAGGCTGGACAGAGCCTTGGGTGGCATGGTTTAGTGTGAGGTGCCCATGCCCACAGCAGGGGGGTTGGAACTTGATGATCTTAAGGTCCTTTCCAACCCTAACTGTTCTATGATTCTATGTGGTTATTTCAGTCCCACACAGCTTGATCAAGACAAACTATTACCTTTTGCTGGGGCTCCAGACTGTTCTGTGACTTTTCTGTGAATGTTATCAAGATACAAAGAAAGTGCAGACAATATGAAACTAAAATAGATACTTGTTAACTAATGCATATTAGTGCCTTTTAAAACCCAAAAGTTTAAGGAAGTTTGCCTTTAATTTCTTTAGTATCTTGTGTTTGCATTTAGGCTCCTTCTGCAGTAAAATACTGGGTTTGTATATCTCTGGCTAAATATACTTCTCTGTGAGTTTTTTTTTTTTTTAAAGTCCACTCAAAAAATAGAGCTCCTGTTCAGACTTTACATGTTTCATAAATGTAGTTTACCATCTTACATTTTCTTTGTCAATCCTCAATAGCACTGAATTTATCATTTGAGTTTTAAGCACATAATACCTGATCTGTCTTTAATTTGCTCATGTCACCTCTGATGGTATTACTCATTTAAGAAACCCCAAGAATGTAGTACCAATGCAGTACAATTAGTACATGGATTTGAGGGTTTTGCTTAGCTTCTAAAGAGTTAATTTTCATAGAGGAAAAATGATGTTTTTGTGTATGTTTTCAAATTTTTTTTTTTCTTTTAAGATCTGGGTTAACTGCAGAAAGCATCTTCCAGAATTGGCTTGACACTTCCGGAATACCAAAGGTAAATACAAAATACCAATTCCCAGTTCTTTCTGGATTCTTGCATTTCTCATTACATTATATGTTATTTAAATCACTACCTGAACTTAAAACAGGCATGGTTTAAAATACACAGTTTTGATAATTACTGCTTTCCACATCTTTATAGGGGTTTAGCTTTTATTGGCTGCAGGTTTTTGCTTCTGCCGTTGCCTCAACAAGACTGACAAAGGGCAAATCTTACAAAACTTATTGCTTAATACTGTAGGCATATGAAAGTATGCTTTACAGTTTAGTTGTAGACTGTTAAATGCAAGGAACATTGTTCACAGTTGACAATATATGAATTACCTAAAAGCCATACTGACAGCAGTAACTAAATGTTCAATACTTCGTACTCTGATATTTTCTGAATGTTGTGACTTGCTCATGAAATCTTATGCATGGGTAACATACTTCATTGCTGTCCTGGGTTCATCGTATCCTGGGTTCAGCTGTTGACAGTTACTTTTCTCCTTTCTGGTAGCTGGTACAGTGCTGTGTTTTCTGCTATAGTCTGTGAATAATGTTGATAACACACCAATGTTTCAGTTGTTGCTCAGTAATGCTTACTCTGATCAAGGACTTTTCAGTCTCTCATTCTCTGCCAGTGAGGAGGGGCACAAGAAGCTGGGAGGAAGCAGAGACAGGACACCTGACCCAGACTAACCAAAGAGGTATTCCATACCATAGCACGTCATGCCCAGTATATAAACTGAGGGGAGTCACCCAGAAGGCCCAGATCACTGCTCAAATTGGGCTGCGTAGTGGTCAGTGGGTGGTGAGCAATTGTATTTATTGTGCATCACTGCTAGTTTCCTTTTTTTGTTTCTTTTCCCCTTTTAGTTTCAGATTCTCTCCCCCCTGTTATTTCCCTTATCATTATTATTATTGGTGGTAGCAGTAGTAGTTACGTGTTATACCTTAGTTACTGGACTGTTCTTATCTCAACCCAAGGGAGTTATATTATTTTGATTCTCCTCTCCATCCCTCCCGGAGTGGGGTGGGGAAAGGGCAAGTGAGCAAGTGGCTGAGTGGTGCATGGTGCTCCTAGACTGTTTTCCCCAGCAAATTCTTCATGTGCACCCCAGGAACTTTATTCCCCTTCTATGGTATGTAAAAGTTCTGACTGGGCTGGGCCAGACTTGTTTGGCAGATCCTCCGGTGTTGACTAACCAAGTGACTTTTGGTAAATGTATATCCCAAAGTTTGAAAGTCCCACCACCTGTTAATCTCAGTGTAGTGCTTAACAGCTCATTGTACCATTCAGTTTTACCAGAGGCTGATGCATGGTAGGGGATGTGATATACCCACTCAATGCCATGCACTTTGGCCCAACTATCTATAAGGTTATTCTGGAAATGAGTCCCATTGTATGACTCAATTCTCTCTGGAGTGCCGTATCGCCACAAAATCTGTTTCTCAAGGCCCAGGATAGTGTTCTGGACAGTGGCATGGGGCACAGCGTATGTTTCCAGCCACCCGGTGGTTGCTTCCACCATGGTAAGGACATGGCGCTTGCCTTGGCGGGTTGGTGGCAGTGTGATATAGTCAATCTGCCAGGCCTCCCCATATTTATACTTCAACCATCGTCCTCCATACCAAAGAGGCTTTAACCGCTTGGCTTGTTTAATTGCAGCACATGTTTCACACTCATGAATAACCTGGGCAATAGTGTCCATTGTTAAGTCCACCCCTCGATCACGGGCCCATCTATATGTTGCATCTCTGCCCTGATGGCCTGAAGTGTCATGGGCCCATCGGGCCAAAAATAATTCACCTTTATGTTGCCAATCTAAGCCCATCTGAGCCACTTCAATCTTAGCCGCTTTATCCACTTGTTGGTTGTTCTGGTGTTCCTCAGTGGCCCGACTCTTGGGTACATGGGCATCTACATGACGTACCTTCACCACCAGCTTCTGCACCCTGGCAGCAATATCTTTCCACAGTGCAGCAGCCCAGATGGGTTTACCTCTGCGTTGCCAGTTGCTCTGCTTCCATTGCTTCAACCACCCCCACAGGGCATTTGCCACCATCCATGAGTCAGTATTGAGGTAAAGTACTGGCCACTTTTCTTGTTCAGCAATGTCCAGGGCCAGCTGGATGGCTTTCACCTCGGCAAACTGACTCAATTCACCCTCTCCTTCAGCAGTTTCTGCAACTTGTCGTCCAGGACTCCATACAGCTGCCTTCCATCTCCAATGCTTTCCCACAATACGGCAGGACCCATCAGTAAACAAGGCATACTGCTTTTCACTTTCTGACAGTTCAGAATCGTAGAATCATGGAACAGAATCATAGAATAGTTAGGGTTGGAAAGGACCTTAAGATCATCTAGTTCCAACCCCCCTGCCATGGGCAGGGACACCTCACACTAAACCATATCACCCAAGGCTTCGTCCAACCTGGCCTTGAACACCGCCAGGGATGGAGCATTCACAACCTCCCTGGGCAACCCATTCCAGCGCCTCACCACCGTAACAGGAAAGAATTTCCTCCTTACATCCAGTCTAAACTTCCCCTGTTTAAGTTTTAACCCATTACCCCTTGTCCTATTACTACAGTCCCTAATGAAGAGTCACTCCCCAGCATCCCTACAGGCCCCCTTCAGATACTGGAAGGCTGCTATGAGGTCTCCAAGCAGCCTTCTCTTCTCCAGGCTGAACAGCCCCAACTTTCTCAGCCTGTCTTCATACAGGAGGTGCTCCAGTCCCCTGATCATCCTCGTGGCCCTCCTCTGGATTTGTTCCAACAGTTCCATGTCCTTTTTATGTTGAGGACACCAGAACTGCACACAATACTCCAAGTGAGGTCTCACAATAGCAGAGTAGAGGGGCAGGATCATCTCCTTTGACCTGCTGGTCACGCTCCTTTTGATGCAGCCCAGGATAAGGTTGGCTTTCTGGGCTGCCAGCGCACACTCCCTGCTCATGTTCATTTTCTCATCGACCAACACCCCCAAGTCCTTCTCCACAGGGCTGCTCTGAATCTCTTCTCTGCCCAACCTGTAGCTGTGCCTGGGATTGCTCTGACCCAGGTGTAGGACCTTGCACTTGGCATGGTTAAACTTCATGAGGTTGGCATCAGCCCACCTCACAAGCATGTCAAGGTCCCTCTGGATGGCATTCCTTCCCTCCAGTGTATCAACCGAACCACACAGCTTGGTGTCATCAGCAAACTTGCTGAGGGCGCACTCAATCCCACTGTTCAGATCAACGACAAAGATGTTGAACAAAGATGTTGAACTTCTGGCCCGGTCCAGACTGGTCCAAGGGCTACTGCATGAACTATCTCATGTTTAATTTGCTCAAAGGCTTGTTGTTGCTCAGGGCCCCACTTAAAATCATTCTTCTTCTGGGTCACATGATAGAGAGGGCTTCCAATTAAACTGTAATTTGGATGTGCATTCTCGAGAACCCCACAGCACCCAAGAAAGCTTGCGTTTCTTTCTTAACAGCAACGTTTCTACCAACTAATATCTTGTTGATTGCGTCTGTGGGGATCTGGCGACTTCCCTTTTGCCATTTTATTCCCCAAAATTGAGCCTCCTGTGCAAGTCCCTTAAGCTTACTCTGGTTTATGGCAGAACTGGCCTTCAGAAGGATCTGGATTATTTTTTCCCTTTGAGATAAGAACAGTCCAATAACTAAAGTATAATATAAAACTACTACTAACAATAATGATAAGGGAAATAACAAGGGAACAGAATACAGCTGTTCACCACCTGCTGATCGATACCCAGCCTGACCCAAGCAGTGATCAGTCCCTCCTGGGTAACTCCCCCCAGTTTATATACTGGGCATGATGTGCTGTGCTATGGAATATCCCTTTGGTTAGTTTGGGTCAGGTGTCCTGTCTCTACTTCCTTCTGGCTTCTTCTGCTCTTCCGCACTGGCAGAGCATGAGAGACTGAAAAGTCCTTGACCAGGGTAAGTGCTACTGAGCAGCAACTAAAACATCCATGTGTTATCAGCACTGTTGTCAGACTAAAGCCAAAACACAGCACTGCGCCAGCTACTAGGAAGGAGAAAAATGACTGTTACAGCTGAACCCAGGACATGCATTTGATATTCAGTAATTTTTGATAAAGGACCTTGAATTTAATACTGTGCTTTGATTAAAGTTTTGTTCCTGATAAAACAATTCAGTATGTTGTAGAACAGCTGCTTCAAGTACATGGGATAAACTGACATTTCACAGCTGTAGTTGTAAATGCTGAAATGTCTGCCTGAAATGGAAGAGTTTTCTGGCATTTTACTTACAATATCTGCTGACATAGTATTCTGCTTCTTCTGAGCATAGCATACGGACCTCTTCCCTCTGACTCTTTCTGATGGTTTACCCTTTTTGCCTTAAGCACTTCTCAGGCCCTTATGGGAGGTTGTTTCCACTTTATTGAATTGCAGTTGTCATTCAGCAAGCAGGAAACCTTGTTTCCTTTGTATTAAATAACTTGGGGATCCTCTATTCTTAAAATCAAAACTTTCAATACATTAGTATCTATAATGTAAATATGACTGTATTTAGTGTCTATAGCAGTATAAATCTACTCATGTGCTGTACAGGAGCTTATACTGAACCCCCCTTAAAAAGTATGTAGATTATTTCACCAAACTATTCACTTGGCTAATGTGCTGAATCTTATGTAAAGGCACATAGACCACCTTCATACATGCAGGTTAACTACATGCATAATAAATATCAGCCCAGGAATGCCACAGAACTGACCTTCTCACGTAGGTTGCCAGGTAAGCAGACTAGGGTGCGTGTAGAGGAAGGTTTCTGACAGCTCCTTTCTCCTCCTCATCCTGTTCGCTCTCCTGTCAGGCAGTGTAAGCAGTATGAGGTGCACACTGTCCCTTGAAGTTGATTACCTTTCCTGAGTACTGAAGCAACTGAAGCAGCCAGTGAATGTCTGCTCCAACAATGTCTCAATGGCACAGGAGAAACATCCTGTGCCGTACACAAGATTCAGCAACTTTC